ATACCGGTATCTGGGTATGTCACAGAATCTGGGTGTGCATATGGCGGACGTGAAACAATCCGTTAAGGAGGCCTTTTTGGGACGCCTGACTAAGGTGCTTGAAAGCTACCTGTCAGGCGTCAACAAAGTCAGGGCCATTAACGGTTGGGTCATGCCAGTCCTAATGTACACCTTTGGCATACTCAGATGGACTCAGACCGAATTGGACGCCCTGGATCGGAAAGTCCGCACAACTTTGACACTCCATAGGATGCACCACCCGAGATCGTCAGTGATGAGGCTGTATATCCCGAGGAAGAGCGGCGGTCGTGGGCTGCTCAGTGCGAAAACCCTGCACAACCGCGAGATACACAGTCTCCGTAATTACTTCCTGGCGAAATCGGAATCCAGTGAGTTGCATAGAGATGTCAAAGCATGTGATGTAGGACTAACCCCTCTCTCTTTGGCCACCGAGCAATGGCGAGAACCAGCAGTACTTAGCACCACTGACCGAGAGGCCGTTTGGAGGGAGAAGGAGTTGCACGGTAGGTTCTACAAGGCGCTACACGAGCGTCACGTGGATCCGAGAGCCTCCGTGCATTGGCTGCGCTTCGGGGACCTCTTTGGGGAAACCGAAGGTTTTGTCTGTGCAATACAGGACCAGGTCATTATGACCCGAAACTACCGGAAGTATATCCTGAAGGATGGGACAGAGGACGTTTGTAGAGCCTGTCACCAGCCCGGGGAGTCACTCAGGCATATTACTTCCGGTTGTCCTGTACTGGCTAATACCGAGTATTTGCACAGACATGACCAAGCAGCCAAAATACTCCATCTCGAGCTAGCCTTCAAATACGGCCTCATAGGCGAAAAGGTGCCGTACTATAAGTATGTGCCGGAGCCAGTTCTTGAAAACGACCGCGCTCGATTGTACTGGGACCGGTCCGTCATTACGGACAGGACTGTTCCTGCGAACAAGCCTGATATCGTACTGATGGACCGGGCGGAATCTCGGGTGTTCTTAGTGGATGTCACCGTCCCATTCGATGAAAACCTCGTGAAAGCCGAATCAGATAAAAAACTTAAATATCTGAACCTGGCGCACGAGGTTACCGATATGTGGCGAGTGTCATCCACTGAGATCATCCCAGTCGTAGTGTCAACGAATGGCCTAGTCCCAACTTCTCTTCACGACCATCTGAAGAGGTTGGGACTCCGTGACGGACCAATGATTGCGAGGCTCCAGCGGGCGATCTTGCTCGATAACGCAAGGATCGTCCGCCGTTTTCTCTCTTTGTCGCCCTGACCCCCGGCCGTCTGGCCTCCTCTGCCGGGGGGAATCCTCCCACCCCTCGAAGCGTCGAGGGGTCGGGAAGAGTAAATTGTAAATACAGGAATAATAATAATTATTATTTATTTGCCCAAAGCACGGTATAAAGTTGTTACAAAATTATTAATGTCCACGTGTTTTGCTATTACATAACAGCATGCAAATATATTTATTTAAGAAAATGTTCAATGTCAAGATTACAGTACATTATTTGTTTAATGATAATGTTTTATTGGATGTCATAATTGCTAGTAATGTCAAGGTTTCTATTTACTTAAAAAAGAATTAATGTCATAAAACGTATTGTCACTTAGCCACTTTTATAATTTATTCTTAAACATATTCATATTCAAATTTTTCATAGTCCTAGGAATATTGTTATAAATTTTCACACACATGCACAAACAACTATTCCTATACTTATCCGACCTCGGAATATCATCATAAATCAATCTGTGAGGGTTCCTGAGTCTATCATTGTTAACCTTTTTAAACAATTCTTTGTTTTGATGGACAAAAACAGCCACTTCATAAATAAAGAGAGATGGCAGCGACAATAATCCATGACTTTTAAATAATGGTCTACACGATTGATCAGGTGCGATTCCACAGATAGCCCTGAAGCATTTCTTTTGTGCAATAAAAACCCTATTTTTTCAACACTATTGCCCCAGAATATAATCCCGTATCGAAGAATAAATTCTATATAAGCACGATATGCTAATATAGCTGTGTCTTTGCTGGCTACGTTCTTTACTTGTTTTAGGGCATAAACAAACCTATTTATTCGATTACACAAATCATTAACGTGAGTTTTCCAATTGAGGTTTTCGTCTACAGTTATACCGAGAAACTTTAAATGGTCTACTTCTCTTATTTTCATTATGTCTAGAGTGAAATTGTATTGTTCATGCTTTGATTTATTAAATTGAATGTAATATGATTTATTGAGATTAATATTTAAATTATTTTGATTTAGCCAATTAATTATCATGTCAATGGTATTATTAATGTAAGATGAGTGATTTTTTAATGAGTCAGGGTTTTTATCATCTTTTGATGTCACAATTATCGATATGTCATCAGCATATAAGGTACATTTATATTTTATTACACGTGTTATGTCATTAATATATAGCAGGAACAGCATAGGACCAAGCACACTGCCCTTGGAAAGCTTTTGTGATTTGTAAATACACTTCGTTAATAAATTAGAATAAATTTTGTATTTTTCTTTATTTATTGCTGTTTTATTGTTATAATATCTGTATCTTAATTGTCTTTTTGTTTTACAACTTATTTTTAGTCCCCGACTTATCCATTTTTGTTTTTTAATACCATTGTTATTTATTTTTATTTTTGATATTGGGAAACACAAATTATAAAATAAACTCAATGTGTCATGAAATTCATCAAAAGCTGCATTTAAATCTATTTGTTTAGTAACCTCAGACCACGACAGGCTACCTATACATTCCTTAAATTTATTTATATTATGATCACAATAGTCCCGTTTAAAAATAAAGTGAGATTTAGGCTTCGTATATTTATGGTAGATGGGAAAGCTTAATATTTGTGCTGTATCATGGTCAGATAAACAAAGGGGCAGAACGATTGCCGTCGCGTCTCTGATATTACTCAGCATATGGTCAATACAAGACTTTTTCCGGGTTGGCGTGTTAATGTTGATAGTCAAATTAAAGCTTCTGCACAAATCCGATAGATGGTCACAAATTTTTCCTGACTTTAATGTATCGATGTTGATATCACCAGCAACTATAATTTTTATGCCTTTTTTATAGCGTCTAAGTATTTCGTGCAATACCAAATCCATTTTTTTTAGAAATACTGTAGGGTCAGAGGTCGGTGTTCTGTAGACACAAATTATTCAGATTTTATGTGGCGTGACATTTATACCGCAAACTTCAAAAGTTTTTTGAGCTGCATGAGATTGCAAGAAATTCAATTTTTCATAAGTCAATCCTCGTCTAATGAGCACACACGTACCTCCCCTTTTTTTATGTCTACAAAATGCTGTTGCCAGTTCATAATCAGCGACCTATATGTAACTGTGTTGGTCAGATTGAACAAACGTTTCCGAAAGACATATAACATCGGGTTTTTTATTTGATTTCTGTAATTCATCAAGTGTTAGTTCTAATATATCTTTTTTTGCCAGAATACTAGCAATATTTTGATGCATGATTATGAATGACGTCATTTTATTATATTTTTTGGCCTCGAAAAAATGTTTCATTTTGAGTTACATGGAAGTAGTCAGTTATTAAGTGTTTTTTATTATGGGACGATTTTGTTATTTTAAGTTTGTCGGAAGTACTACTCCTCGATAAGGGAGCAAAGTAGTAGGGGATTGTACCTTTATGATATTGCTTTGTAGAATTATTTCCTGTCGCTGGATTACTGTTACGTCCGATCAGCCTTTTTAATTCATAGATGTTAAGATATTTTCTTTCATAATCTATGTTGTCGATAACAAAATTAATTGATTTACACATGTCATAAATACTCTTTTTAGTACAAGATACAAAATGGCACATTCTAAATTTATTACATAAGTTTTGTATCTTGTAGTTTAAGTCATTCACATTAATATACATGTTTTTATATAGATTTAATACAATTACATCATTATTTTTAAAAGAAATCAGAAGTGTATATAATTGGGATAACAATATATTGACATCGTAGTCGTTTTCTCCAATACATACTACTAATTTGTCGTTGGGCGTTAAACTAATATGTTGGCAGTCTTTTAGGATGTCTGTTGTTAGGGCATAAGGCTTTGTTTGAGATGTGATTATACAACGTGTCCCAAAATTCAACGATAAGCGGGCGCCAAGAGGTACCCTTGCTCATGTGTACTTATGGAAAAATAAGAAAAAAATTATATCTAATCTTTTTTATTATAAAATTAAATTCGAAAATCTTCGAAAATTTACACCTTTTATGATATTTTCAACTACCACGACCACAACTTCTCAATTATGTTCAATCTTTTTTTGGTATCGGATACCTAAGTAGCACTACTATTCGCTACAACTCTTTCGAAAATTTTCGAATTTTATTTTATAATAAAAAAGATTAATAAGATATAATTTTTTTCTTATTTTTCCATAAGTACACATGAGCAGGTCTACCTCTTGGCGCCCGCTTATCGTTGAATTTTGGGACACGTTGTATACTTCTCGTACATCGTATCTTCTCTCGAGCGACTGAGGGCTGATGCTAGTCCAACACATTGTTGTGATCCGTACATGAATATCCTATTTTTTAATGTTGTTTTTGTCATTGTTTTCCGCATCGGTGTTGTGTGGACGTGCTGCATATCTGAATCAGTGCGGAGTTCTCGATGCAAGGGAGTTTTTCATGCAATTTAATTTCTAATAAATTTATTTGATTAGTGAGGCTTTCGATTTCCTTCTGTGCGTCTATAAGTTTTTGTTGTAACTCTGTGATTAACGATTGCAATTTTAGAGGATCATCATCAATATTTGTGTTAGCTATATTTTTCCTTTGTGTGGTTGAACTGTAAGATGAAGATATACATAACGATGGCTTAATTTTTTTCTTGTTGCTTCTTAATATAAGGTTTTCATTTAGTGGGGACTGGCATAGTGTTTTCAATAACTTATTTTCCTGAACTAGTTTCAAATTTTCTCTACGAATATTATTATTTTCTAATATGTAATTCTCTATGCGAGCTATCTAATTCTGATTGTAATAGAGTAATGTTTTCTTTTAGTTCTTGCACAGTAATAGTATCTGTTACCGAATAATCTAAACTTAATAAAATTTGATCTGATCCTGAGGGCGATTCTTCTAGTGACAGCTCCGCTTGAGTAAGTATGTGTGAGTCTTGATGGCATTGCTGCGATACGTTTGTTGGAGTAGACTGTACAGTTATTTCCATTGCAGGTGATTCTTTCTCCCTCATGTCAGGGTTGCGCATTTTTTTCCTAGTAGTGACGACTGAATGTTTAGATAATTCTTCACATGTTTTGCATTTCCATATCTTTCTTGATTCTAGATCTTTCATAAAACGTAGCTTCTCTGAGTATCCAATGCAATCATACTCGTAAGCATTTTTACACATAGAACAGACGACAGTTTTTTTTGCTTCAACTCTGTTTTTACAATGATAACAAGTTACTAGTAACGACATCTTGTGAGTAGATTTGGTAGTTTTTGTTTGCACTTTAGTTTATTTCATTTTTAAGAATATTGTTCAGTTTCGTTAAATATTGTAACTTATTTTCCGAAGATGTCGCTGGTTCGCAATATGCAATTTATAAATATATTCCTTTTTCCAAAAAACATATACGCTGCCGCGGTTTGAACTACGGGCTTCCGAGTGCGTTCCACTATCTTTGTAAGAGACTTACTACCACACCAAGATGGAGTTAACAATTGTGGTTAAAATTAAGTACAGTATGTTGTGAGAAGTTTATTCGAATATGCAGAAGACGTTACTATGATTCATCAGAATGGAATTTTTTTCACACACTGATATTCACATATAATTTATTTCACTTTTTGCACATATTTTTGTTTTTGCTTTGATGCTAATCAATTTATATTTTCCTTTCACTTAAATACTGTATTTGAAAAGTTATTTATTGCGTTTTTTATATGACTTATGTTTGAGTTATTTATCACTGACTATTTTCTAGAAATTATTCGCAGATTATGGAAGATATCAGTTGCACTAGTTCTTTGGAGTACTATCAACTTTTTTCACTCACTTTATTATAAATACAATTACTGTTTATATTTTTAAACCTTTTTACATCTGCCATATTTAAATGACCCATTCTCTTATTCCAAATAATCAAATCAGTCTTGTTTTCTGACATAGCAGCATATGCATTGCCTGTAACTGTGTTAAGTTTATACATGTTATCCAACAGACTTGCTGTAGCTATAAGAGCTTTGTTGGTATTATAAATGTTACAGCCTTTATTAGTGAATTCCAGCTTACAACCATTCTTAGTTAACTGACTGACAGATAACAAGTTTGCACTCAGTTCAGGAACATATCAAACATTTCTCACCTGGATTGAATGTGTATCTTTACTTACATAGGTCCGGATGTTTACATTACCCATGTTTTGCACAGAAACTGCATCACTATTTGCCACCATTATCTTTTGCATCGGAGGTGCTTGCAAATCATACATCCAGTCTAAACGCCTAGTCATATGCATAGTGGCTCCTGAATCAACATACCAGTCACTTGGATCCAATGTACTGTAAGCTGAAAAAATTGCTGAAAAACTATTTTGATTAGTGGTATTTTTCTCCGGACAATGATTTTTGAAGTGTCCATATTTATTACATCCATAGCAACGAGGACCTTTTCCTTTTGGTTTTGAGTTATTTAAGGTTGAGTGATTCTTTTTGTGCTTAGAGAGAAATGCTGTAGAATCGGAAACTTTCACCTCCTGTAAAAGTTTTGTCTTTACAAAGTCTGATGAAATTTTTATGCCAGAACTTTCCAGCCCCATTATCATTGGTTTATAGAGATCCAGTAAACCTGCGAGCATAAGGGTTTCTAGCCATTCATCTCCCACTGCAAAACCAATATTTCTCAACTTGTATGCGGTACTCATAATTTTATTCACGTATTCTTCGACGCTTACACAATTGTCTAATGTTGTGTTGATTAGATCTTTAAGTAAACCAACTTTCCTTGACAGCCCGGAGTCCTCGAAAGCATTCTGCAAGTTTATCCATACCTCACGAGATGACGTTGCATTTTCAATGTGAACGTAATTGATCGGATCTACCAACAAAATGATTTTAGTCTTAGCTTTTATGTCTTTCTAGGTATCTTTACCACCCGGATCAACACACTCCCACAAATCTTCATGCTCCAAATACGATCGGACAGCAAATTTCCACGTCGAATAATTTTCCCGCCCGGTGAGCTTGTCGATTTGGAGGTTAGACATATTCATGTCGATTATTTCTGCGCGAACTGCTTTACTATCAATATAACAATACTATACTGAACTACGGATCTATTATTGGTATATGGAACGGCCCATAACCTGTTGAAATGAATTAAAACACCGTTAATAGATTTAGTTTTAGAAAACGTGTATTGCATTAATAAGTACAGAGCAAGAAGGAAGTGGCGCCGCTGATGGCCATAAAGGGAAACTTTTTTTTTTAAAAGCACAGGTAATGTTTACTTTCTTCCAACAAAAACCCTTATTATTTTCTAACGTTGAAAAGTGTAAAATTGTTGTACTAATATTATTAAAGTAAGAAATTGTTGTGGATTTCGTTTTTGAATTTAATATTTTTTTATTTAAGTATTGCTTTATATAGAACTGTGAAACTGAAAAAATGGTTTCATATGGAATCGACGAATCAATTTTGTATTATGTATTTTAGATAGACTTTATTTTTGACACAATTGATTTGTTTTTTCTCAGTATATAAAACTATTATATATAATAAGTAAAATATTATATTTGATTAATTTCGCATTCACAATGCTATACTAAAAATTATTCTTAATACAAAATGTCGCCCGGATTGCGAAAGGTCGTGGGTTCGAATCCCATCTCAGGGTGCCAGGGACCAAGTGGATTTTTTAAGCATTTTGTATTTATTTATTTAGGGACATAAACAGTGTATTGCACAACCTTTGACAATTCTCATTTACAAAGTATTATTTCAGTACATCCACAAATAATATGTATCCACAGCTTATTCTATAACACAATTTTGCTTACAAGCTAGTTGCAAAAAATAAAATAAAACATAATCCAATATCTAATATCTTCCCATTTTCACTGACACTTTTAGTTTTAATGTAATATTACAAAGAGAAAAAAAAAAGGCGAAACCAACGAAATGATAAAATGATAAAAAATGTATAAAAATATGCATTCTTATGTGCTATTGGGAGTCTCAAATGTACTTGTACATATGGAATCAAATTTAGGTGCAAATATTATTATTATTCGCTTCTTTTAAAAATTACACATTTTCAAACTTGCTTTGAATTGAACTGATGATTTACAGAAAACATCCAAGAAATTGTTGTTTTTCTTATTTGTATAGTGGTACAAGTCACATATTCTGTTTAAAGGCGAGTTTTTACCCAGGTTAGAATAACATCTGGGTAAGTGAACAATTTTCAGAATTGGTTGACGAAGTGGTGGAGGTCTATAAGGAATTTTTAGTTTTATATTTGATAAAAGTTTTGAGTCTTTACATTTTCCGTTTAAGATTCCGTGTAAAAAAGTTAAGTCTGCCATCTTTCGACGTTTGCTTAAAGAATCCAATTCATAGTGCTTAAGTCTATCTTCATAATTCCTTCGTGGTTCTTTACCGTGGTACTTCCAAGACAGATGACGTGTGAAAGATCGCTGAATAGATTCAATACGCTGTGAATGTTAAGCATAAAAAGGATTCCAAGCTACACTTGAAAATTCTAAAATACTTCTGGCCAGAGATTTGTATAATTGCAAACTAGTCTTTGCTTTTTGAAACATTTTCGCGTTTCTTTTAATGAATCCTATCATTTTTGTAGCTTTAGTTGTTATATTATTAACATGTGTAACAAAATTTAATTTACTATCAAGCGTTATGCCTAAGTCACGAATTTCTTTAACTTCGTCTAATTTATTATTATTAATACTATAGCTAGAGTTCACAGACAATTTCTTGCGAGTAAATTTTATAAAATAACACTTAGCTGCATTTAGGGACATGTTGTTTCTTGTACACCACATTGATACAGCGTTTAAGTCGTTTTGTAAACTATAAGCATCTTCGAGGTTTTTTACTTCTTTAAATAATTTTAGATCGTCAGCATAAAAAGAAAATGAACTAAAATGTATATAAATTACTACGTCATTAATAAAAATTAAGAATAGCTTAGGACCTAAAAGTGAGCCCTGAGGCACTCCTGAGAGGGAATAGTAAGTATCAGATGTATATCCATTTACTACAACATTTTTAGTTCTACTTGTAAGATACGTCACAAACCAATTATACAAAGGACCATGGATTCCAAATAGTTTCAATTTCTGGAGTAAGATGGTATGGTCAACTTTATCAAAAGCGCTGGTAAAGTCAGTATATACCACGTCTACCTGTAATTTTTTATAAACACTATTACTAATTTCACCTAAAAAAGAAACTAAATTAGTACAGACAGACCTACCCTTCATGAAACCATGCTGTTCTTCTATAATATGACGATCTATATGACTACACAAAACAACGCTAATCAGTGATTCAAAAACCTTTGCAAAACACAATAATATAGACATCGGTCTGTAATTTTTTATATCTGATTTATTAACTTTTTTGTAAATAGGTACAATTCTAGCTTTTCTCCATTCCACAGGAAAATATCCGCTATGCAATGATAAATTGAATAAGATGGTCAAAGGTGTAGTTAATTCCTTAGCACAAGATTTTACGAATAAGCTTGGGATTCCGTCAGGGCCAGGACCTTTGGACGGATCAAGACTTTTCAAAGTATCAAATACTTCCTTCTATGTAATTGTAAATTTGTAAAATTTAAAAATTGTATGTAGCTCAACGGACACGGTACTGAATCCATCTCGGATTGTCTTTCATCATTAACATAGGTTGCCTGTGAATTATTTTTAAATACTGATGAAAAATGTTTTCCGAATAAATTACATACCTCTTGGCCACTACTACCTATACTTGTATCTAATGCCATGACTTCAGGAAATCTGCTCTTATTATAATTTTTTTGATTTGACGTAATTCCAAAAATTGTTTGTGTTTGAAGTTATATTGTTCTCAATATTTTCCAGATAGGATCTATAACATTTTCGATATAGTTTATTACATCGATCTCTAAGAATTGAGAACTCAATTTCGTCGCGAGGATTTTGATATTTACGATATCTTTTCCTTACCTTTTCCTTTTCCCTTATTAATCTTATGAGTGACATACTAAACTGGACAGTGGACAGTGAAACAGTGGATACTTATATCTACTGCGGTTATTATTACGTAGTGGTACATTTAATTTGATTATTTCATTGATTTTGTTATAAAATTTATCAAGGGCATTATTCATATTAATGTTTATTAACAAAGCAGACCAATCAACAGATACTAGTTCTGATTTTATTTTATCAAATGGAGCCTTATAAAAATTAA